GAAAGGCCTAAGTCTGATCATTGGCTGTGTTCCCAGGTTTGCTTCCATCTGTTGATAAGAAATGGAGGTGGGAGGATATGCCACATTTGATAGAAAGCTCTAAAGCAAAGGCTTGCCTATAAAGATCCCTGAGGTATCTCTGATCACTCCAACGTTTCACCATCATCATCTATAGTCTACGTCTCCCCCTCTCTCTTTTGCTGACAATGTTGCTGTGAGAAACAACTCTGATTTGAAGGTACTAAAGGGCTTTACTCAAGATGGATGCTAGCATCTTCTTGGAGTGAGTAGCTCAGCATCAGTACACATTACTGAAGAAGTCAGAAGCAAAGAGGGCCATCTTGGCATTTCTTAATTCCTCCATCAAATCTTTCAGGACCACACAAAGGAACATTCCTCCCCCATGCACTGGAAATTGAAATAGCAATTCCCTATGGGCAAAGTTCATGCTTGCGTATTGCTGAGCATTTTGAACATACTGGGGTTCTCACCTGGAGAGTTCTGATGACGTATGCTGGATATCAGAGAGAACAGGATGTTTTTTTTTTACCAAGCAGGTGGGGCTGGTGTGCTTCATTACCTCCACTGATAACAAGTCCTGACTGCAGCTCTTCTTTCCTATTTATGAGGTGACAAGGCAAGTTCTGATTGTGCCCTCCCTGGAAGGCATGATGGGAGACAGGACTGCTACACCAGCATGAGTTTTGTTGCGCTACAGTAAAAAGCTGGTGTGAGTTCTCCAAAAAGGTTTACAATGAGGAGATCCATGGCTGCAAATTCTACCTGTCAGATGTACTCCACTGTGCATGGCACATTCCTGATATTTTCTTTGAATATTTCCTCCATCTCCCTCATACACATTTTCCTTCAGCTCAGTACCTACATTCTGGAACCACTTCAGAAGAACATGGTTCATGAAATACCTCTTAGAGAGCCATGCCTGGAACTAGACTGAGGAGGCAAATGTCAGAAACGTTGCCAAAAGCGTCTAATCTTTCCCAGGAGGCTGGCTGCAAATATACAGTAGAGGTCACACACCTGTAGAGGATGCAGTGATTTCTGATCATTATTCATGTGTGCCATGTGAAATGTTCAGAAGGGGAAATGATCTCAGCCACTGCCCCCCCAAAATTCCAGTGTTTCTACAGGAGAGAGAGGGAAATGGCAAGGGAGGAGATGTGGAATTTTGTCAGGCTCTGGTATGAAATTCCATTCTTTTCAAGACAGGTAATAAACAGCACATGGGTGGTATTCTAGTATAGACAACACCTGCTGCTAATATTACCTGATTGATTCACTTGAATGCTTAGAATGAAAATACACCAAATCTAAAATTCTAAATATATAATCAGAGTTTAATAACATCATTGGTTTATTTTCTGGATTATGAATTACACCCTCCCCCCTCCCTGCCCCTCCCCTTCACCTCTGTTCCAAAATTTGTTGATCTGTCAGAACTAAAATAAACAAAGCAACCAGAAAAGATCACTTATAGAGAAAGGAATAACCTGATGGACACACGGCCTAATTTATTGTGGGAGAAGGCAAAACACCAGACTCCTGTAGTTAGACCAGTGGTTCAGTCCAGAATTTCCAGTTCTTCTTTTCTGGTTGCCCTAGAGCATTCATTTGAGTGGTTTGTGGCACAGTTAGTATTTGCAGAGCACTCCCAGTGTTAACAGTGCTACACAGTATCAACACTAGATAATGATTTTGGCAAACTATCTTTTGCCAATCAGTGGAACAAGGGACAGACCAGTTTGGAGAAAATACGAACCAACTTTCACCCTGGAACACAAAAATCAGAACCTTTAAGAAGAGATTTGAAAAAAGTTCCATTAACTTCTTTTTGGTTTGTTTTCGGCTTAATTTCCCTGCAGAGCCACCCTCCAGGTTTCTTTGTTCCAGGTGGGGAGGGACGTAAAGTACTGAAATAACCACCAATGAGATTAGCTGCCCTTGCCAGCTGTCAAGCTCCCCCCCCAAGCCCTTAGGAAATAACCAGAAATTCTCACGAGCTTTCCCAGGTCCAAGATTTCTAAACCAACGTAGCATTGGAGAAGTCTCTTAATGTCAAGTGATGGTCCAACCTGAGCGGCCAACTTGATGGTTCACCCCACCACTACCAAGACAGCGTAGTGCCTTGAGGCTCAAACTCCACAGAGAGATGCTGGTACAGAGAGTTTATATGCAAAAAGGAATCGGGGGTGTTCCCATCAAAACATGAAACCCTGCTGGCAAGGCTTGAAGTGACGTTCCGGCGTCTTCCATTCATGAAGGTAAGGTGACAGGGCGATACGGGGGGCCTAGGGGTACACAACACACGTGTTTTTTTTCCTCTCTCTCTCTCTCTCTCTCTCTCTCTTCCTCATTCACACGGCCTCGACCCGCGTAAACCGCTTCCAAAAACGCAGCCTGAAAAGTCGTAGAAAACAAACAGAACAGAAACAAACTCCCCTCCCTCCCACCCCACGACCTGAATATTCACGAGAAGAGAAACACCAATTTATACAAAAACGCAATAAAAAAGAAATATTTACAAATGAAAGGAACGCCTTCTTGGTGGCTGCTGTCAGAGGCATCTGACAAGCTGCCATGTATTCTGGATTGCAGATCGCTCTGTTAATTTGTTTGGTTTCTTTTTTTTTTTTTTTTTTTTTTTTTTTTTTTGTTTTTTTTTTTTTTTCTTTTTGTCCTTGTAATGAGAGAAGAGGGAAAGAATAAGAAATTCCCTTACCCCAAAGACTAAGGGGTGGCATTACAAAGACTCTTCCCCTCTCCCCTCCTCAATTTCCTCAGTGAAATCTAAGAAAATGTTCCCTTCACAGACTTTGCCCACCCTCTCTTCACACTCTGACTTTACAGGCAAATCCCACCCTCCCCTCACCCCAGCTCTAAAAAATAAATAAAATAAATAGGCAAATAAATAAAAGGCCTTCTGTTGGCTTAAAAAGAGAAAGATAAGATAAAATCAACCAGGGTGCGGTGAGGAATGCGAGCGAGGTGGCTTTCAGCTCCAAGATGCTCATAAAGGGACTGCCATCTCCATTCAGTCAGTCCCCAGGAGTGTCCCCATGCCCTCAGCACAGGATTCTCTCAACCCTCTCCTTGGCGAGCCATGGTAATTGTGACACTGAGACAGACTCAGAAGAAACAGAAGAGACTCTGCCACATCTCTCAAGGTGAGAGAGGTTGGCCCATGCCCCACCTCAGGAAAAAGAAGACATATGAAGAGGGAGTTCAACTTCTCACTCCTACCATTGCTCCCTTTCCATTAAGTTTAACTTGCATCTAAAATGATACAGTGGAAAGAAAAAACACTCCTATCGATACTATGTGCACCAGGAAAGCTGTCACTACAACTGCAGGGATGGGAAACCCTAGGCTATTCCAGCTTTGCACTTGTGCTAGTATCTCTGTCACACACTGAGGCACACGTACATGTACACACACATCTCAGCCTTGCACGTCTTGTCTTCAGCCCTCAGCACACGTTCCTGTGCTCTCTGGCATTTATTCAAGCACACCCATTGCCAGGAAGACAAGCTATGTACTTCCCTTGTACATTCAATAGTAAATATACATATGTATTTCCCATGGGTGCAAACACCCTCTTTCCATTTCCACATGTCCAAGGAGGCATCAAGACAGTCCACCAACACCACTGCCACCACATGCACCTTTTCATGTTTTTTTTGTTTGTTTTCTTCCTCTCCAGCACCATGCCACCATTGGCAGAGGACACCCCGTTCCTTTTCTTCCATCCTGCTGGCCAAGGGTGGGGAGGGCAGAAGGATGAAAATGTTTCTTGTCCTGCCCTCCCTGCTAAAAAACATGCCAAAACAGGCTTGGTGTCCTCTGAAGAGACAGTGACAAAACTCCCCACCTTTCCCTACTCTTTAGCTCTTTTCCACTGTGTGTTATCCAGACACCTTATAGGATTGTGAGTTTATTTTGCTTTCTCCACAGACATTTCAAGTATAAATTCATTGTATATAATCGCGTATAGGCTAACCCATACTAAATACTGCTCCCACCCTTAAAGTAAACCACAATTAGTGATCAATTCATTGCTAAAAAACCAACTCTGCTTCCCTTTTCCAAAATTCCTTTCATTTCAGTGCAAAACAGCATCCTGTCAGAGCTCCCAGAAGCCCCCCTGATTCAAGGGTTGCTCTCCGAGACCCAAAACCCATTTCCTTTCCAACTCTCCCACTGGTGTGTCACAGATTCAAGGGCTGTAATAGCCACAGTGAAACCACTCACCAGACCTGCGAACAAGCCTTCTCTCCCTCCCCCCACACCTCCCAGCAAACAATTCAAAATGTCAGCGTAAAATTCTCAGCGTATACGCAAATATATATATATATATTTCAGCCCTAAACCCCCATAATCTTCACAAAATAATGTAACAAGAACCTCAGTATACCTAACATATAAGTGCATCATCAAGTTAGTCATGTTATTCCTCCTTCACTTTCTCCACATCTTCAAACATCACTCTTTTCTAGGCAGTTTTAGGAAGAGTTGCCTGAACAAGCATATTTTCCTGCATGTCCATTACACTTCTTCTGCTGTCTCCTCCTGCCACATGTGTGCACGCACATGCCTTTCTCTGCTGGGAGTCAGCAAGAGTGAAATGCTAGGATCACTATTGCTCCCCCTCAACTCACCCCTTCCCTGCCTTCTTCTCCCCCTCGTGAAATCACGAATGAGGATATCCAACTCCAACGTCACTGTAAAGTGCAATGGCCAGGAATGAAGGAGAATGGGAGGAGAGAGAACATGGAAAAAGAGATAAAAGAGGAGGAGTGGGAAAGAGGAGGAGGAAGAGGGGAAACCAAAGAGGTGGCACTTGTCACCAATGCTGTACTACTCGGAACTCCAGTATCCCACAAACTAAGGATGACCAGGGAGAGTAGCTGATGGGATTGATCCCACCCCACCCTCCCTTGCTCCACATCCACCCCCAGTCCCTCCCCATGCTCCTTCCCTCTCACTCAAACGTCAGACTCAATACTGGAGAGTTTCTCATAAACATGCCCGTTGCTGGAGCCATTGAAAGCCCTGGGGTTTTTGTTGTTAGGCACACAGGGGTTGGACTGGTTCCCTATACAGATGTCCTTCTGGAAACGGGCTGGCACAGCCCCATGAAGGGCTGAGACCACCGGCTTGTTGGTGGTGACGATGGCTCGGAAGTCTGGCCTGGCTTTGGGCCCTCCTGCCACCACAGGCTGCCTGAAGAAATAAGATTTGCTGCCGTGGAGCAAGCATTGGTCATCCCCAAAAGTGGGGATGAAAGGGTTTTGGGTGACCCTGTCAGGGTAGAGCGACTTGCTGAGCATGTATCCCCCGCTGCTGCCAGGGTTGTTGTGGTGGTGGTAGCTGGTGGCGGGCACTGAGGACTTGTTGTTGGCAAAGGTGGTCTCACTGGCTGGCATCTCAAACATGTGGGCGTAGGGGCTCCCCTCCAAAAAGCGACCCTTGTCCTTGAGGCTGACGCTGCGAGGGGCCAGGGCCGAGTCATCCTTTTGCAGGTCCACAAAGGTGTCATAGGAGTGTTGCCGGCGGAGCTTGTTACGGTTCTTCTTCTGCACCTTGGAGGCAGAATTGGAAGGGCTCTGAGGATATTTGGAGGAGGAGGTGGCACTGGTGGCCACGGGCACAGGGGCAGGTGGCTGGTCCAGCTCTTGGAGAGAGTTGTCCTCACTGATGTCATACAGGTTGCCTGCTTTCTTGCAGGCCTCACACCGGATGCAGGCCTGGCGAGTGGAATTCTGCCCCACCACCGATGGAGTGTAGTTGTGCACCTTAGAAGGGCAGCTGCGGCAGAAATTAGCCCCAGACCGGTCCTCCCAGTCTAGGTTGGTCAGATTCTTCTCCCAGGGCGCCGGGACCCCGCTCACAACACCATGCTTGTGCTCATTGCTTCCGCCAAACTCACCCGAACCGTGCTTATGGTGGGCTCTGTTTGTGCAGGATCCACTTCCTCCTCCTCCCGTGTCCCGCTTAAACTCATCTCCACGCTCTTTGTAGATATCCGTCAGGTCCACATGCTCCCAGTGTGGTGAGTTTTCCTTGGCCCGAAACTGGTCCAGGTAGAAGTCCCGTAGCCCTTCCTTGTCCCTGAAGTAGCGTTTGTGGTCAGGCGAGCGGGGTGGACGCCGGCGGTAAGCCAACTCTATCTCATCAAACTCCCGCCGGGACTTGGCAGAGGCTGGACGCTTCTTCAGGCTGTCCTTGTACTGCTGCTTCCGCCGCTTAGCTGCGTTGCCTTCAATGTTGCCGTAGGTGACCGTGTGAGTGGAAATGTCAGAGACGTCTGAGCGGATCAGGTCATCGTGGGCCCCACTGCCCCCATAGCGGTCGCTCTTGAAGGAGAACTTGCCATAGAGGTCACCCAGCTGGCTGTGCTTGGCAGGGGGCAACCCCAGATCCAAGGGCTTCTTCCCGATGGACCGCGACTGGGCGTTGAAAGGTGGGTTGTCACAGTCGTAGAGCCCATCGATGGAGCTGGTGCTTCCGATGCTGTGGGGACGGTGGTGGTGGTGGTAGTGGTCCTGATATACATTGCTGTCCTTCAACTGTAGGTTGCCAAAGGTCCTCTCCACCTCACTAATGTAGTCACTAAATAGATTCTCCTCACATGGGGGGTTGTTGTAGGACTTGCAGTCTGAGTGGGTGAAGCTGCGGCGGTGTTCAGAAATATCATAAACTGATGATTCACGGCGGATGAAGTCCAGGGCACTCTGTGGTGAGCCATTGACCCCTGATAGGTTGGCCATGTTCTTGGCTGTCCGAAGCAGGCGGAGGATGTTGGAATGGGTGTTGTTCATAGTCGCTGTGGGGGAGTTCATTGCTGACTGGCGTTCCTCAATGGCCACACCATGAATGCAGCTGTAGATACCCTGAAATAAGAGAAAGCATGAAGTTGAGTGGTCTTGCAATGAATGCACAAAAGGAAATGTAGGCTGGAAAGCACCCTATGCAGCAATAGCACATTCCTATAAGGCAGAAAAGACTGTCAGACTTCCATGTGATACACAAGCAAATGAGATGAAGCCAGACCTGTCCCACTAACCCTAACTCTTCTGCCACTCTTTCTTACCCTCAAATTTTTTCTTTCCCCTCTATTTATCCTCCTTTTTTTCATATCATATCTGAGGAATGCAGAAATAACTGGTAGCATCCATAAGAGTTACTCAAATTTACTAGGTATAACATAGAATTGCAAATGGGGAAAATAATATCCTTGGAAGCGAAAACATCAAGACAAAGGATTCTGCATGGATGAGAGAAAGGTCTGTTTTACCCCTTGAAATTCAACTGGACATCAGTGAATCAACATGACAGGAAGTATCGTAAAAAGAGAACAGCTTCATTTGTCATAAACTTAGCTACATTAATCACCAGTACAGATTAGAAAGGAAACAGAGAGTGTAGGACTGATGAACAGGTATTTAGTCCTTTTGCATTTCGTTGAGTATGGTACAATAGAATATTTAATTGCATCCTATTGAATTTAGCAGTGATAACAGGCTCCAAATTGACATCCCTGAAAGTGAAAGTCCTCTATTCAACCTCAAATCAGACAGCAGAAGTGCCTGATTCCTTCACATTCTCCACTAGCTCATTTCATCAATGGTAAGACTGATTGCAAGGATTACCCCAAGGAGCAGAAGGAAAGAGGTTCATTTATTCCCAGCCTACCAAATGGAGCATGCTGATTAATGTCAATAGTGAAATGGACACCACCACATCATGTTACCATGTTTTTTCAGCAGCCAGCAGTTGATTAACTTTTTTCAGACTTTCCACCAACCTGGGCCAGGTCTAACAGATAACTCCAGACTGAAAAGATTTGTATTCAGTTAACAATCACCAAATACAGTCCCCTACCTCATCTCCAGACTAAAGCAGGTTAAAAACTAATGACAAAGAAGAGAGATTGTGTCCCAACACTCAAAGGCTTTGTCATTTTTTCTCAACAGTATGTTATACTGCAATTATATAGTCCTTGTACAATCAAAGTTAACTCTGTTACAAGAGATACTGAGGTCAAAAATGTTGAGATTTGACCTCACTTCAGAAGAGATCAAGAGATCAGACCAGTAACAGAAAGAAGAAAGAGAAGTTCCAAATGGGACATTGCTATCTACAATAATAGCAGGAAGATGACTCAGACATTACTAGAATCTACTTGAAATGTAAATACTATCCCCTAAGGCAGATTTGCATAGAGAAATTGCTAAGTTCATGTGGTCATCCTCTCTAGAAGGATTTCTGCATGGCTTAGTGCAGGGCTTGTGGTTAGGGATTTCTGAACGTCCATGATAGAACAAATCCAGTAAACACATGGACAGGTGTAACACAGAAGACAATGAGAAACTCCTGAATTTCTAGCCGTGTTAAACAACATTACTTATTGTCCCCAGGCCTGGCCTGCTTACAACTCACTGAGAAGGAGGAGACTATTACAGATCGCTTCTTTCCATACTGCATTTTCAGTTCCATATGAAATTATCATTTCCATGACCACAATGAGGCAGAGACCAGAGATGACAGAAGAACAGTAAACGCTCTTGCTACATTAACACAGGAAAGGCAGCAGGCCTCACACTGCAGATCATCTCTCTGTAATATCTGTGTGTTTGACAGTCTGGGTGGATTTCCCCATCGACAGTACCTGCAACCACCTGAATAAATTCTGACTGACCTTTTTTCTCTCCGCTAGCTAACAACACTTACCCTACTGATGGAGAAAACCACGCCAGGCTTGCCAGAGCAGACACCCATGAAGCAGTGGCGGAACTGCCAGTAGAAGAGATGTTCACAGATGAAGGTGATGAGACTGAGGGCCATAGCTGCTCCCAGCATGTAGAAGACACCTGCCATGTTATCTATATCCAACTGGCTGCTCATAACCTCATTCTTCTCATTGTGACAAATGCCAGTGAGCCACAGTGCTTCCAGCTCCTCCATCTCCCCTTTAAAGACAGAGAGGAAAAAAAACATGTTAGCCAGGCCTGCAATCATAGTATCATAGAAGGGCTTGGGTTGGAAGGGATCTTTAAGACCATCCTGTTCCAACCCCCCTGCTATAGGCAGGGACACCCCCCCAACTAGATGAGGTTGCTCAAAGCCCTATCCAGTCTGGCCTTGAATGCCTCCAGGGAGGGGGCATCCATAACCTCGCTGGGCAACCTGCTCCTGTGTCTCACCACCCTCACAGTAAAGAATTTCTTCCTAATATCTGCCTATGGATCTCATGCTGAGGTAGTCTGAAAACAAGAAGCATATCAGACTGTTCTTGTAATAGGGATAGATGCAATTAGTCATAGGGAAGTCAATAGGATTTTTGCACAGACAGATGTTAGGCACAAAAATCTGTACTGTACAACACAACCATCTACAGCTATTTGCTATAATTTCCTGAACAAGCTGTCCACCACATAACTGAAGACCTCAGCTCACTAACTTGCACTTTCATAGTAAGTCAACAAAGGGAAAATTAGCGACTGATACTGTTAAACAGAAATGAGTCATTTTTAAATGAAAACACTGCCAGCATAAAATTCAAAATGCTGATCTTTTTTTTTACATCAAAATGTCTGATTTTTTAATTTGTTTCCATCATATCTACAGCTCATTAAAGTGAGGTGCAATGTTCCCTAAAATATTTTTGCATTTTTACCTGCTTTTCTTCCTTTCAATTTTGTCCAAATGTGACAATTCCAAGCCCTCTGACCAATGAAAAATATTACTAATTTGTATTGGCTAGAAACAAATGTTCAATAGTCTAATTTCATACCCCACTTCCTCTCATTATGGTATTTTCAGGAGAAGAAAGCCACAAACATACATATGCACATACTGAGACATCCAGAAACAAACTAATTTTACAGGTTGGTAATTTTTTTCATGCTGCTATGGAAGTTACTATTTCATATTTTCAGCATTCAATCTGGTGGCAGGGAAAAAAACTCTGTATGCTTATATGGCATCACAGCACATTCTTAAAAGCATTATGGAGATCTTATGTTTTGTTCTGAAACAACACTTATTAGGCTATTCAGGAGACAAAACACCCTAACTGTCAGGTGGCCAATATTCTGATGAAGCATATCAGAGCTTTGTTCTTTACATATTTACTACGTCATATGTTATTTTCAGATTTCAAAAAAAAAAAAGCTTATAAATAAAATAGCCTGAGAATTTTACTTTTTTTTTTTTTTCTTTTTTTAAAGAACTCAGGAAAGTGTAATATATAGCACAGAAAGAGAAAACTGGGAAAATGTTTTCTAAAAAGAATTTCTTGCCCCATGAGTATCTTTTTTGATAACAACTCTTTCTCTGTTACCGACAAGATAAATGAGGTAACTGTAATGTTCTGATTAAAAACTTCCGAGTTTCAAATTCTTCCTTGCTTGTTTGGTTGTTTAGTTGGTTTATGAGATTTAGGGGAATACGAATTAATTTTTTTCATCCAGATACAATCAGTTTTTTTTTTTTTCTCTACACTCTGCATAGGTTGATCCTGTCTAGAATTAAGTATGAGGCAACAATGGAAAGCCCAGCATTGTTTGTGGGTTTGGTCATGGCAAAACTCCTAAGGTAGCGAAAAGTTCACAAAACAAAACTTGATTTCACACAACATTCTTCTCACAAGATACTGCTCATACACACATCTGAGCTGATTGTATGAAACCACTAATGCCTTTGAAATTGCTTTTGATGATATCCTGCATCAACAGTATAGAACAGGTGACATTCTGCACATTTCTGGCACAACATCTCGAACAAACCCTTTTGATAATTTCCTGTTCTCAATGTGGATCTGAAACACCAGCTAGGGAGATGGAACATTATTCTGTACATGCAAAACTTATTATTTCTTAGGAAAATTCCACCTCTTCTTTTTCTTGACACTTACCATCTCCAAAAAGCTGTAGAATAGCAAGATCAACCTGGCGCTTCCAACCTGAGTCCTTCTGTATGGCAATTCCATAGCCAGTGGAGGCAAATACTTTCCCACTCCCAATTGTCACCAGTTTGCAGCCTTCATCTCTGCCAGCCATGTAATTCAGCACTGCTGCATCATAAATGAAAGCATCCAACTTCCTGCACAGGTGCAAGAAACAAGAAGTGTATAGCACAGAGAAGATACAATCTGTATGAGTGCAAAGGTGTTCTCTGATAATTAAGGCAGAAATTAACCTCTTCCAGATAGAGTTCAATAGGTTGCATCTTCACTTCCTTCAGAGTTAACTAAAATCTGATCCTAGAATCTGTTTTCAGGTGAAACTAGATTATAAATTAGATCTGTCTATTTCTCTCTGACTCTTTCATAGTTGTCGTTTTTGTACTGAAAGGAAATCTGGAAGACGAACATAGCACAAGATAAAGATGAATGAAGAAAAAGTCCAGGAGATCTATAGTCCTAAGAATAGCTTATGTTACTGCACTACCTTTCATCTGAGAAGAACCTAAAATACTTCATAAAATATATCAATATTAGACAGCGTAGCAAGGCTTGCAGTAAAGATTTTCACTAATTCAAAGTGCTGGAGGAAAATATATATTAATTTCAAATTAAATGTAGCCAGGCCACTGTAACTCCTTAGTTACTGTGAAAAGTGCTACCAGATCTTTACCAATGTCAAGTGGCCATGATAACAGCTTTATGGCTTACTGTGCTAAGTTGCTCTTTGGTAAAGACTACTTAGCTGAAAACCACAAAAAAGGGTCTGTTTCAACACAGTGAAATGCCCATTATAGGCTGGAATGGGCAGACAGCACAACAGACTGATGAGAACCTTCTTACCTCAACAAATTGATTTTGGGCTTAGGTGTAGTCTCAGGGGGCTGCATCTTCTATACAACCAGAGACAGCCAATGAGTAAATCCTCCCACTAGATCTGAAATGAAGCTCTTTCCAATAAAAGACTGAAGACCTTCTACCTTACAAATTCTCACACCCACACTACCTTTTCAGTACGCCTCCTGAACATATACTGCCAGTATAGTGATTATCTCAGTTTAAGTGCATATCCATGGGGAAGGCTGTCCAAGGGTTGATACAAAGCCAGGATGACATACACCACAAGCGATGAGCTCTGTTTCATCTATATATTTCCAGAAGAAAGCATATTTATTTCCTGGATGATGACTACTGGCAAATGTACCTCCCCAGGATGGCATCCAACAACGGTCCAATAATTTATAATGGGCTATGTGCCTCCGAACCTGGCAAACAGGTTTAGGAATAGTCAGTCAATCTAGTAATTAAATTGGCTGAACATCTTTGTTCGTGGTTTGGAATGAACTTTCTCACGACAGTGTGACGTTGTAAGTGAGAAGGTGTTGTTTCATTTCACTAGAGCTGGGTTCTGACAACCACAGTGGGCATTTCTGGGAGGAGGCCTTTAATTATAAGGGACAAAGGCTTACAAAGACTAATAGAGGTTTTAAGTTAGCTCCTCTACAAATTCATTGCTATTAAAATAGAGTGAGATGTTCAAAGATACTTTCTGCTAATGATTTTTCCCACATTTCCCAAATTACCCAAGGAGACGCTCCTATTTAATACACTTTCTTAATATTCAAACAGCAGCTTTGTCAGCTCTTGACACTAAAATATTCCAGAGAGAAGGACTACTTGCAAACTATTTGCTTCAAGCACACCTTCCATTACACTGTAATAGCTAGTGATACACTGGAGTGGGATTAGTCTGACAAGGATTCCTTCAGCTTCCTGATTAACATAATCTTTTATACACAGAAAGAAAGAAAATAAAGGAATTTCCAGATGACAATGCAAATGTTCTCAAAAAATCTTTGCCCATAGAGGACAGCGAGCTTTTATTGCGCATACGTAAGGACGCATAAGCATGAAACAGCTTGCTGAAGCAAGGTGTTTGGGACTAATACACATAATGCTAACATACATAAAGGTACAGGTGATCCTGTTGGTTTTTTTTTTTTTTTTCCCCCCCAAATAGTTTTATAAGTATTGCAAAACCAGAAACACTTATACAGAAGTGAATAATAAGAAAAAAGGCTAAGAGACTCACAGAAATATTCTCCTGTGTTGTATGTGGTCTAGGTATACTTTTAATCATGCAATGATAATGGATGCTTATTTTCCAAACCCCAAAAAATTTCCCAATCACTCAAAGAAGTCAGCTAGTAAGTTTGGAAGAAGAAATCCTCACCCAGTCTTCAATGAGAATAGGGCATCATCCACTCCCCTCTGATTGAACTTCACCATGTAGCTGTGCATTTCAGGGTAGTTGTTGCGAATGTTCCTCTCTGTGCTGCCATTGGGAACTGTCCCAAAGCGGAAAGGGGGTGAGAAATCATTGGGTTTCTGGAACTGCAGAAACAGAAAAAAAACATTTCTCACAATCATCCATCAAGAAACAGTCATTTGCATGGGAGAACACACTCTCTTTAGAGACCCTGTGCCCATTGCAACACAGAATGTAATTCTGATTTTATTTTACTATCAGATGGAACACATTATTGAAAAGATACCATATTTCACTGTTTTCAAAGACAAACATTTCCTGTTAGTGTCCAAGAAGTAAAATGAGCAATCTGGTCTTTTGTTCACTGTGGATAAAATACATACGTGATCAAAAACTAAAAGGAGTTTAGATATAAGTAAAAACAAAAAGGAAAAAAAAAAAAAAAGGTAACAACATCTTTGCAACATGGTCAAATAAAGCTTTTCAATAAAATCAATGTGAATTTTACCCACATAGTGTAATTTAGTTTCTAAGAAGTATCTATTTCCATTTTATTGACGCCTTTGCATTTCCTGATTCTAACTAAAGTAAAAAAGCAATTAATGAGGAGAGATGCCACTCCAAACAGCTCCCATCCACTTCACCAAATAAAGGATCAGCTTTCAAACTTTTGGGCAAATGTCCCAAATGAAATTCTATTAGTGGTTACAAGTCACAAAGTTACAAGTAACATTTGATGCCCAGAACAGAGCTGGCAGAATGCTCAAAACCTTTTGCTGCTCCCAAGAAATACATTCATCATAACATTCTCCTACAGCTGCAAGGCTGTGAGATTTTATATGCCACTTGCTTAACTCAAGTCATAATCAATGCTCTCTGGAGTTTTATGAGCAGTAAAATTTAGACTGTCAATTATCAAGACTGCTTAAAACCCCTAAAACCAGTAGATGGAAAGCGGCACAGAATTGTAAGCCAAGAACTGAATAGGCAGTAAAAGAAAAGATGCAAAGATCAGCTAGATGGAAGGCTCCCTCACCTCTTAATACATCAAACAGTGCTAGTCTGGGGCTCTCAAATGTGACCGTATATTTGGATAATCTTAAGAAGCATGCTAAGAACATGATATCAAGCCAAACCCATTTAACAGTAACAGTTCTCCTGCCACATCTATCATGCACTGCTGTCTTCTGTGGTGGAAATGTGGCTACCGTCTATAGCTATACCTTCAAAAGCAGTCATGTCTAGCTATTAAGTTCTGCTCAAAGCTAGTCTGAAACCTGCTGAGGAGCAGCTGAGGACCCAGCTGAGGAGTCCAAAGCTACTAAAGCAGAGTACTCATTCAGAGCATTTCAGGAACAAGGTCAACAAGGACTTGTACCTGTGGGTAGGCTGACAGCACATTTCACATCACCAACAGGAATTTATTGCATCTATTTCTCTAAATCAACTCATCAGCTATGCAGGGAATCATACCTCATATTCAGGTGGAGAGAATGGACTGGTTCATATGTACATATATGCGTGTGAGATATATCACCAAAAAAAAGAGAGGTTTCATATAGCACAAAATAGGCAGTAAGGTGCCTCTTAGAAACTTGTCACACTCTCAAGGGATGAAGACAAATTCAAAGCTATCAAAACCTGTACTGAAAGCAAATTTTGATGGGAGAAAAATCACTGCAGCATTAAAAAAAATTTTCTTTCTCACCAAGCTGGTTATAGCAGCAGTTTAGGAGACCCATCACAAGCCATTCCAGGCTAAAGGAATACAGTTTCTCTCCTGACATGCTGAAACCGGAGCTTCCAAAGTGGGCAGCTTGTTTCTTTAGAGGCTGCAGAACCCAAACTTTTGGGCAGAATAGGAAGCCCCCATCCACAAAGAGCCCTCCAACACAGGAAAGCCAGCAGGGCAAGCAGCAGGCAGGCCTGATAAATATTCAACTTCAGCAAGCCCTTTGGAAAGGCATCAGCTAGGAGAGCTTCTCTCGGGGCTCACAAAATACTAAGGGAAGGAGAGGCTACATCCAACAACCATTTTATGCCTCCTCCCTCCATCCCTAGTGATGAAATCTCTGGATTTGTCTGCTTCCAACACTGGCCATGAACTGGAGCAAAAAGGGACTATAGGGTCAGGCAGACCTGTGACAAGGAAAATAACCCCTCCTCTGAACAACCCTTCATTTTCCCCAAGTTCCAGGTCCCCCCATTAGCACCAGCCAGCCAGGGGTAAAATGTTCTGTATTTAATTTTTAACATTCTGGGCAAACAATAAATGAATGAAAACATTCCTTTTAGGAAAAGGACTGTTTCTAGCAACTGGAAAAGCATGCTTCCAGAGAAAAAAAAGCAGGTTGTTGGCTTCTGCAAACCCATGCACTATACTGCACTGCGTGTTAGCTTATCATTCCTCACTCCCTGTTAATTCCTCAGTCAGAACAGATCTGCAAATGCAAATTCTTCTTCACACACCCATATGTGCACATACTTTAACCACAGAGTGGTGGACAACAAGACAGGGAACAGTTGGAGAGGATCCACCTGGGACTCGCAACGGAGATCTTTAGCTTGCATGTCTAAGAGGAGCACACATACTCATCTCCAGCCTCCTGGGTTTGTGTTTGCAAAGTTTAAAAAAACTGATGCTTAACTGACTCCACAGTCCATGAAGCCAGAGATAAGCAGCTGTTTCTCCACATTTAAGGACTAATACTGGTACTGGCATACAACTGTCTATCAGGAAATAGTAGCTGAAAATTCCTTGTACTTACTGCTTGGCAGCACATGGGCACAGCTCAGACTACAGATGGAAGAACTCTCCAGAGCCAGAAGTGGCTGTGTCTTTCTGAGCTTTCTTATGCCCCACACAACTCATAGCAAAGGAGCAAGAAAAGCTGTAAACATGCCCACGAATGGGAAAATATAGGGATTGATGGGGAAGGTGTTCTCTCACTGCAATGAGGTGGAGGAATTTCTGTGGAAGAACTATAGAAGACGCATAATGAATAAGGTTAATTGGCACTGCTGTCAAAGAGTTTAGTAATGAAAGACATTCATATGGCTTTTCCAAAGGGCTGGGAGAGTGGGTCCAGCCCAAAGATGTCAGCCTCAGGAAGCAAGGACGCTTTGGCAGACTGGCCTAGGAGGAGTCTGAGAGATGTGAGACAGAAGCAGAGGCACAATGCAGGTGCTATTACACGGAGACAGTCAATGCAGAAGTAATCTGAAGGCTTCAGTAAATATTGATAAAGGAATTAACTGGAGATATTGACAGAAATGGTCTGAATTTAGATTAATGAGAGAGCTCTCACATCATTTCATGTAATCATTACCCCTGCCAGAGCCATAAGTCACAACTGATTTGCCCTAGGCATCTGCAAACAGGAGCCATGTGAGGCTCTGGCCAATAAATAAATAAATAAATAAATAAAAACAAAACAGACAGAGGAAGGGAAGATAAGCAACTGCACTGACTGCTAAGCAAACATAGCTGCAGAGAGTCACAGGGAGGGGCAAGCAGGGTCTGCACACCTAGAAGCCCTACCTCACCTCTACCTGTTTCTACCTCCCTCGAGTGCACCTTGCTTGCAAGGAAACCTGAGGAGCTTGGCTGCAGCCCTGCACCCAAGGAATGCTGGCTGGAGGTGCACCCCAGCTGCAGCCTCCCATTTGCTCACCATGGGATCTCAGTTGTGAGATGCTCCCCTTATACACAAGGTGACGTGACAGTCTCTCAACCGTGAAAGAAGATCCCTGAGACAGCTGGCTTCACATCAAATTTAGCAGGGAGGTGGAAGCTGCAGATGGGTCCTTTCCCTGTCTGACCTGGGGGTGGGAAGCAGACACCAAGCATGCCTGAAGGGCAAGCCAGAAGGCAGCTTTGGGAGTGTCCTTGGAGGCTGCCCACCTCTTCAACCCCTCAGTCAATAAATTGAAATCAAGCAGGATTAAGCCCAAATCGGACGACAGCTTTGAAGAAGTTACCTCTCAGAGTCAGAAAGCAGAGATCTTACTGCTCTGGAGAGCAATAAACACACAGGCTGGGGGCTATTAGCACATCCTGAGTGGAGAGCCCCTTTCCTGCTCCCCCCGCATCTCTCCATGAGAGCTGTCAGCAGCAGCAGTGAGAGTGGGTTTAAGTGACTTGTCTGGCAGAGCTGTTTCATTAGCAATTTGGAGCCATGCCGTGCAGAAAGCAGCACTGTTCTCAGATGTTCGAATATCAATCTGCATAATGAAACAGGTGATAGGAGCTCTTCCCATTCAGGCAGCCGGGATTGGAGAGCATTCAGGAATGAGGGGAAGGGGTTATGTCTAATTGGCCACAATTAATTTGATGAGAATTTTTTTTAAAGATTTTGTCTATCACCAAATGGCTCCTACAGAAAAGCACATCTGCACTTATTTATCTGCCTAATGTAGGCTCTGTTTACGCTGTAGAGTGTTTGCCAATAGCATTGAATGCAGATTCCCAAACTCAGCAGGTCTTACAGCAAAAAGGCTTTTTTATCACTTGATCTACTTTTATACTTTTTAACAAAAATAATTTCATGCTGCATAATATAATGAGCTTCTAAAATGTTGTATAAGTGAGTTTATGTGTAGTATCTTAGATATACACAGCTTCTTTGTGAGAGCTCCTTTCATTTTCTAAGGCCCAAACCTCAGTTTTCTACTGCTTGAAGCTCCAACTCTCTAGAATAAGGTCCCCAGGTTCAGTTCTCTGTTGCCTGCTAGCCTAGAAGACCTTGGACCCACATTACATGCTGCCTAACCATTTGAAATGCCCTACAGAATTTCAACCTGCAAGCAGGTCCCCCACACCCCTGTACCAGGACCAACCACCTGAGGGGATTCTGGATACTCTAGTGCAGCTATATTGGCTCTAGACATCTACATCTGCACAAGTGAATCCAGCCACTAAACTATCTGGTCCCCAGGACAGTTCTGCCCACGAAAAGCATAGGTAGACAGAAGCTGTGGGTAGCATATGGTCTGAAGTGCCCACTACTCTCTTGAATTTGTCCATTGGGGTATCAGTCAAAACTTTTTGCACAGGCACCTCTAAGCAGCAATCTACTTGCTATTTTGGCATCCTTACAACCAGCAGATATCTGTTGCAACACAA